AGACTTGTGGGTGAGGAAACTCATCCAGGTCTCATGGTTGGTAAGAAGTGGGGCTGACATTCGACCCAGGGCATTGGCCGCTCCTCAGAGAGAGGCTGGTCTGAGCCAGCTGGTGACAGAGGCACAGCCTGCAAAGCCCAGCTGCTCACCGCATCCATGAGGGTCAGCTGCTCTGCCAGCAGCCTGGGAGGGAAAGTCGTGATGTCAGGCAGCTCCTCAGGGGGTTGGTTCTTTACAGGACAGGGACAGGGGGACTCTGGGGCTGACTGTGACTCCAGCAATGTCCCTGGAGGGGGCCCTTCCCCTGGTGCTGGTCCTGGTGCTGAATGTAGATATCCTGGTGCACCCAGGGCTGCAGGTGATTCTGGCTCCAGAGCAGGCCCCAGGTCCGCCAGCAGTGGTGGTGCTGGCTCCAGGGCCAGCATTGTTAACGAGTGTTGCCTAGGAAGTGGAGCAGGATCTGGAAAAGGAGAAAAGGTCACAACACCAGTCACTTTTCACTGGGCTTTCCAAGCACAGAAATGACCGGATGGAATGTAAGGGAATTGTATCCCCAAACCACCACCCCCGGAAAGTCTTCCAGACTGCAAGCCACCTCACCATCTGACTTGGCCTTGTTGGGCTCCGGAAGCACCAACTGGCCTAGGACAAGTTCCTGGTGGTCCTCCACGCCCAATCCAGGCCTGGCGAAGTTCCTGAAGGCCAGCTTTATCCGGAAAGATGACCGTTGTGGGGGCTGATAGCAAACTGAAGTGTTTTCAAGGGGCCAGGTGAACAAAATGGAGGTGATGGTGCTGGTGATGGAGTGGACAGCTGAGTCAGAGGCCTGGCCTTCTCCCACACAACCCTCCAGGGCACCCTTGCATGGTTCTGGGTCCCTGGCCTCTTCCTGCCTGTGTAGAGGACAGCCCCACCCTACCCCAAGCCATCAGTGCTGGCCTGGAAGGGGCAGACCTGGCCACGCAGCAGGGCTGTACAGACCCTTGTGCACCCCGGTGTCCCACTGACATTCTCTTCCCAAAGGCCCTGGAGCACAGCTCTGTGCACCTGGACACTCAAGACTGCAGCTCCAGGCTGATTTGTGAGCAGGTTGCTCATCAAAGCTCCAGCTCTGGGTCTGCTGGTCCTAGGGCTAGGAGGATAGGGGCAGATGTAGAGTGGAGGAGGACAGGGAGAGATGGGAAGTCACAGTGCTTGGGATGGGTCTCTTGATGGCCAGCTGTGACCCCAGCCTCACCTCTACTTTGCGGGGAACCTAAGTCTCCATTTACAGAACTCACTATTTCCCTCTTGCAGGAGAAGTCTCCAGATGTCAGCCTTCTCATGGGAATTTTAAGAAGTATGAGCCCCAGGGCTCCTTGAGTCTCTCCCCAGTCAGAGTCTACATTTTTGCCCCATGTTTTGTGGGTGAAAAAGCCCTTCAGAATCCTAAATCCAGCCAGTTTATACTTGTTGCTGGACTCCATCATTCTAGTCAGAGTCTGGGAGGATGCCACCATACATAGAGAAGGCCATAAGTGTTTCACCTCTAACATTCTGTAGATATGACCTGTTCATTCTGTCAACTGTGAGTGCCTGACTCCTGAGTAGAATCGAGTCCCAGGGATTGTCATCTGCTTTATGAAATTATGCCAAGCCACAAGAAGAACATTGCACAAATCAGGTGTTTTGTATGTATGTGTTGAATGAGTGAACACCAACCATAGGAGAACGCCAGTGAGCCTCTCCAGATATCTGAGTGGGCCTGAGGCTCCTTTTTCAGCACCAAAGGACCCCTCTTCTGTCTGTGTGAAGAAGAAAGAGCAGCCAGAAGGAATCTCAGACATCATTTACCAATGCCATGGCAGACTTGCTCTCTATGAGCTTTTCCAAACAGAGAGGGATATGGGCCATTGATGCAGAATGCTGAGAGCTGCTTCTGTGCAGGGGAAAAGTAATAAACATAAATCACAGCACCCCCAGCAGATTTTCCGGAGTTTTAGGCTCTAAGGAACCATGTCTTAGATCGTTCAGTCCCTACAAGAACCCTGTGAGGTTCATCTTCTCACTACTCTGTGTTCCAGAGGAGCCACCTGAGGCTCTGAGAGCTGCATCTTCAAGACACAGCCGGTAGGGGACAGAGACACCTCCGTGCCTTGGAGGGGATGGACACTCACGTTCTAACCAGTAGTTCCAAAAAGTGTGGCACGGTGATAAAGTCCCAGGAGGGGCCCAGGCAGGTGGCATAGGAGGAGATGAGTTTAGTTAGCAAGGCTGGAACCAGGGAGTCCAACAGCGTCTCCCCTGTGCCGGGCTGGAAAGTTGACATCCTGCAGATCTCATTTCCATACTGTGGGGACAAGGAGGGACATGGGAGTCAATGGTAACACCATGAACCACCAGAGGATCGGGATCTGGAAGTCACACTAAGAAGTACCAACCCTTCAGGGACTTGTGTACGTGGAGAACCTGGGTGCCCATAGTGAAAAGGGTTCTAGGCTGTCAGAGTAAAATTGCATGTGAGGATGGAGAATGATAAAACGATTCATGCCTTCAAGGCATCTTCACAGTGTTTGTCGTCTGTGGGGCAATGGCATCGTGTATATCAACAGCCTGCATGAGGAGCATCATCCCTGCAAGTCCTCAAGGTCTGGGGAGGCCTCGTCCCCTCCTCATTTTAGCGACAGGGCACAGGACAATACGCTCTAGAAGAACACTGTGACTTAAAGGGACATGATTGTTTTTGTTGTTGCCTGAACGTGAGTCTGGAGAAACAGCTACGGCCATCCCAGCCCTAGGCCAGGGGAAAATGCCGAAAGACTCCAGCGTGGGAGGAAGCGCATCCCAAGGCCCAGGATCTGCCAGGCAACTCGGGGAAGAGAAACTGCAGGCAGGTATGGAACCCGTGAAAGGTTACGCAAATGTATGTTTGAAACTGGAAATGAAACAAGGTGATTTTCTTTGCCACACAGACGACAGATTGGCAAAAAGTTCAAAGAATGTTAGTATTCAGGGGAGGCTGTGTTCAGAGACGCAGCTACTTTCAGAGGCTGCTGGTGACCGTGTGAGCAGCTGGAGCCCTTTTGGAAAGTCAGCTGGCTAGAGCTGTTGAAACTTGCTATCTGCATATCCTTTCACCCAGATTTCCCTTTCCCGGGTGTCTGTCTTCCGCAAGGGATTTGTATATTTTATGGGTTGAATTGTGTCCCCTCCCCCAAATGTAACCGTTTCTATTTTCAACCCCAGAGACTCAGAATTTCACTGTTTTGACGCAGAGTTCTCCAAGAGGTAATTCAGGTGAAGTGAGTTCATTAGGGTGGCCCCTAATTTAATATGCCTGGAGTTCTTTAAGGAGAGGTGGTCAGCGCACAGAGACGTTGAAGAGAAGACCCTGTGCTGACCGAGATAGAAGTCAGCCATCTCCAAGGCAAGGAGAGAGGCCCAGACAAAGCACCCCAGGCTGACAGCTTGACATTGGAGTTCCAGTCTCCAGAATTGTGAGGAACCGAATTTCTGTGATTAAGCCTTTCAGTCTGTGTGGCATGTTATGGCAGCCCTGGCAAACTGCTCCAGCCTATTAGGACACACTTAGGATTATGCTCCCTGCAGAAAGGCTGCCTAGAAAGGGAATTTTATCACAACAGGCTCCACCAGCACTGAGAGGCTGACCCGCTGTGGAGCACAGCCTCCCTTAAGGAATATTACAGTGACATGCGAGGGTGCAGCTCCTGCGCGATGGGCCTGCAGGGATGAGTTCTGTGAGATGACACTTTAAAGACAGATGCATAGAGTAGCTTCACCTTCTTTTGTTGTAATCAATGATCCGCCCCCCCACTGCCCCCCTTGTTTGTGTAAAAGTGTTGGATTTTAAATCCTAGAGGTCTGGCAGGGCAGTGGAGCTGCCTGTTGCCAGAGATCCACTTAGGGTGGGGAGTTAAAATGATAACAATATGAGTGTGTTGCTATAGTGTTATCACTGTACTCAATTCTTGTGGCAACATGCTGAGATACTCCTGGCATAGCATAAAGTGAAAACAGATGGATTTTCTCTGATCTT